ATCCAGCCCAGGGCCTGCTTCACGTACATTCACACAGGCGGCCCAGGGCCTGGGTTCACTCAACCAACTGGCGCTGCGCAACTGCCTGAATTTCCTTGAGTTGCGTGGTGGCCAGAAAAGGGCCCTGAGGGCCTCGTCGAGCCTGCCTTCACTTAGGGCAGCCGACGGGCTGCAAAAATTGGGTCCTTATGGGGCTCTTAGAGGCAGTGGCCTCGCATTCCCTCGTCCTTAGCTTCACCACTCCTCTGAGAAGCTCAATCTTCGATCATAGGGCGCTTTCCCTTCTGCAGAGATCTCTCATATTGAGTTACAACTTGAGGAGTGGTCTGCATGAGCTCTTCCCTGGTGAACCAGCGGTCCTCCTTTGGATCAGTGTGATGTCGGAACCGAACGCGGTACTGCAGCTTCGGTTTCGGAGGACGTCCCCTGCCTGCTGGTCTTGATATCGGCAGCTCTCTGTGATCCACAATATCATCAATGTCCACCTCTCCGTCCATGGTTGGGGGCAGCATTGAGCGACGAGATGGAAACTGGTCAGTCTCTTTGAAAGGTGCCAGCTTGGAGGCGTGAAAGACAGGGTAAGTACGGAGATGACCAGGAATCCGGATAACGTAGGATGGCCCATCCGGATCTGACCCGACAATGTCTAAAACTTCCCAAGGTCCAAAGTATCGAGGCATGAGTTTGCGGGATATTCCGTACTCCTGTCCCAGTTCTGAAGACTTAACCCAGACTCTATCCCCAACCTGAAATGTAGAAGGTCGGCAGTGTCGGTTTTTGGACTCTATCATCGCTGCCTGTGCACGGCCTGACAAAACGGCCAGGCTCTGTTGAATGTCCTGAAGGATGGTAGTTTGATGCTCCTGCATCTCTATAACTCCTAGCAGGGAGCTCCTAACTACCTTCACATCATCATCCATATGCGTCAGGTCCATCGTCTCTAACTCCTCTATGTTTGCCCCTCTTCGCTGCATCCTGGCTCTTCTTCTGATCATCTTTTCCTTTTTCGCTTTTATCTCTTCTAATGCCCGCTGTAACTGTGCCTCCTGCAGGGCTGCCTGCTGGATGGCGACATCCTCTGGAGTCAACACCGCGGCCTGGCTTGCCATTAAGCCAGTGGACTGACTCACGGTCTGAGCGACCGTTGACCTGACGGCAGCTGAACTATCGGCTTGGGAAGTCTGCTGCGCGGAAGTGGACATGGCTGTAGTGGCCATGGCTGCTGTAGCACCGGCCTCGCTAACTAAAGTTCTGCTGGCCTCGGCTGCTCTAACCCTCCTCTGCTGCTGCTGCCTCTCCCTAAGCCGGCGGAACAGAATCCTATCACCCTCCGGTCCTAAAGACACGTGGGCTATCGGGCCTCTAGCTGATCGCAAGGTCCTGCGGTCGTCCTCTCCGGTGTCCTCCTCGTCGCTCATAGGCTACAGCGTTGTGCACTGTCTACACTAGATCATACTAGATGCCTACCGCAACATAGTGCACAGACCCACTAATTAGTTGGTGGCTATTTCGGAACAGATATCACTTGAGGTCAACAGGTGAGTCAGATCCCTACAACTGAAACTATTTTTAGTATGACTAGTCCGCAAACAGAAGCACCAGGAACAATCAACAGTTCTAACTAATGTTGTCTGTCAGATGTCAATGGCAGTCCATCTAACTAATCAAAGCATAAAAACAGAATCATTTGTGTGTTTAGGACAGCATGGAATTTTCTCGAACTTGTCACCTGGAATCAACCCCTCCCTTAGTCCCCTGAGTATCTCTTGACGTCAGCGTCCCTGAGCGATCTGGAGAGGTTAGCGTGTCTAAAGGTGTGTGTGTCCGGCCCACCCCTGTGCCCCGAGTATCCACTGAGCCGGCCAGCCTTGCACGTATATTTATCCTCGGCGTGCCGCGAGCCTTCCAACCATTGACTGATCCAGGGGCAATTCAACGTCCGCCCCCAAGTGACTCCAGGAATTATTTTACGTCGCAGTCGGACGACGATCACAGTCAATGGTTCCCCTTCCCGTGTTTATTTATAGACGCCGGGTGCTCGTCTTTCCGTTTGGGCCGGCCTGCCCAGTAGTACCCATCAAACAGCGCAACAAGCTGAAAAAAGGACAAGCAGCTTAGGCATGCGTGCTCTACTCCTTGTGG